AGTGCCGAAGCTTGTTGGATTAGTGCTACAGAAAAGCATTTCACTAGGAATTTCTGTGAAGAGCATAAGGTATTTATTGGATTGAGCTGTTATACTTCAGCCTTTTAAAAAATGATAGCAGCCACCTCATCAACAATGCATTCTGAGAATTTTCTCATGATATATAGTGTTGGTCCCCCCACACCTGCTGAGATAGAAAACCCATTACTGAGTGGCTTATCTTAGGAACAGGGTCCTTACTCCTCAGAGCAGTGATGCTTTGCTATTTACATAGAAGCCTTGGCAAATAGCTTTTCTCAGTATCTTCATTTACAGAGTCTTTTTTCCCTACCTGATGAGTGATTTCCATTTAAAAGAAAAATCTGAATTACAGCACTCATGTAAAACTTATCAAATTCCTTGCAAACAACTGTCCAGGCAAGTAAAAACACTGCAGACAGATGAAAAGCAACATAAAAAATAATCACTCATACATCTTCATGTTAATTTCACATTATTTCAGCATAAGTTACCAAAGATGCCACAAATCATTCAGAGAGATAGAAAAGTCATCCAACAGCAAGGCCACCTGATTAAAAAGTGTTACCAATCCAATTGGATTTTTGCACTTTACATGCAGGTTCCAAGATCAGAGCTCTCCACCCAACCAAAGCTCTGCAGGTGGGGCTAGTGGAATAACAGCACTGGAAACACTTCCCATTCCACTTCTAAAAAGTATTTTCGGCTATACAGCCCTCTAGCTTACGTAAAGCAATGAAGACCCTTGTGGATACAACAGATTCACACCCAGCTCCATTCCCACAGAGCCACACATTGTCTGGGAGAGGGAGGGAAGAGTTCCCTTTTCAATTTCCTGCAAGCATCAGGAGCATCCTTTGGTCCCTGAGACACCAGGAACAAGAAGGCTGATCAGCTCACTGGGTACCTTTAGTTACTATTAAGTATAAGCTCTCCGAGTACTGGATAAGACTTGAAATGTTGAAAAGAAAATATAAGGTTGAACAATACCTTCAAACTACATGTTCCACATTCTAGTTTTTCATTCTAAAGATCCATTTGAATGAATATATTATTTTGTGAGCTATGTTGGCCTCTTATTAAATAAATTCGTCCTGTAAGAAAAGCTATGCCCAGAATGTTCTAAACTGCCCCGAAGTATAGCTGGTTATAATACTTTCTAGTCTGAAAAATCTAACAGTTTTGTATATGATTGCATCTGCAACTTCCTGTTGGTATTTCAACCTCCTCTCCATGAGCTGCAGAGCAAACGACTTAGATGGCCAAAATCAGCCACCCTTGAGTCTTCCGGGGGGGGGGGGATGTGGAGGGTCTTTGAGGGCCTGAAGGGTCATAGTGTTAGTCTTGCTGTTCCCTTGGGCCTCTTGTTTTTCAGTCTTCATCTTCCTATGAAAGTTCTGCTAGATTCAATGACCTGCCTCCCACGCACACGTGTGTGCACGCGCATCTGTGTGTCCACACACACACACACACACATACACAGGGCATTTATTACAACTATCAGAAAATCAACATGCCAGGTCCAGACATTATCCAGCACCCTACTGTCGGCATCACCATTTCAATTAACTTTACTTTTCACAGAGGGATACATAAAATATTGTGGGGTCAAGCATGCAGGTAAACAGCAAGCCATTCTTCAAAGGTCTCCATGAAATGAGCAAGAATAAAACTGGAGAGCGCTACATTTACTTCTCTCATTCCCCAGGGCAGTTCTAAGAACACCAGGCCAGGTACTCTGAGATGCCGAGAAATTGCTCAATTCCTTCCCACTGAGCTGTCATGGCACTTCACGCTGTGAATAGCTAACACCCTTCTATGCCAATAAGGCAAACATTTCTATTTCCTTGCTGTTCTGGTCATGCCATGTCACAGCATTGTTTCCTCAGCTGATTTAGTGCCAGCTCAAATTGAATTTCCAGGGTTTGGACAACGAAGAGCACCAAATATTCTTGATGGAACCTAGTGTACAATTTCACAGTATGATTCTTCATGTACTCCCCTCTCCCTGAATAGGTAAATGATAAAACAGTACATAACACTGAGAATATCGCAAGCCAAGTTGTACACATTCCACTCTGTAACTGGTACATCTGCTGGGCTGTGTAAACAGTTAACCCTTCCAGTTGCTTTGTGCTGATTCTATGCAGGCATGATTGTGTCAAGTCAATAGCACTTTCTCATACTTTAGCTTACAATGTTGTTTTGTTTTGTTAATCCATTAATCTGCATATTAAAATAAAAACCACTCTAAGTAGTATTCAAATACAGATTACTTCATGCACTACGAAAGTATTTAAATGCATGTCTTGCCTTAACATATGTATTGTAGGGTGTGTTTTCTTTTCAAAAAAGGTGAATTAAATGCATATTTGGATAAGTTGAAACTTCACAAAACTGCCACAAAAGTGGATAGGTAATTAAGATCTTGTAATTTGTTAGTCCAAGTGGGACATACTTGCTCATCTTGTACTAGCATCAAGTGTGAAACTATCTAGCATCCCTAATTCTATGGCTTGGAAGTGGAGGAGACAAGTGACTCAGAAGATGTTTGGCTTCAACAGGAAAAGACACACACCTAAGTAGAAAGTACCACATTAAAATCAATTTTCCATAGCCATGATCAACTGCACTTCATTTCTACCACTTCAGAACAGCAGAAAGATGATTTTTTAACTTGCTCCTGTCCTTCTCAATTAACTCTCTGTTGATGCCTTTATAAAGTGGCCACCTCTGTTCCTAGCTCTGCTATTCCAGTATTGCTCCCTTCCCTTCCCTTCCCTGAATTTTTAAATCTATTATATTTCTGACATTCAGAGTAGTATATTTCACTACGGGAAAATATGTCATATAGAAAACTTCATAGGAATATACCACACTGTGATAGGAATTAGATGTTCTGTCTTACTTGAAAGTTTACCAAATACGCCATTTGATTTATTCAATGCTACAATTTACTCATCCTGGAAAATAGTGGAAAATAAAAGAAAGATCATTTTAAAACTATTCATTTCACCCAGCTGCACTGAGCCACTGCCAATGCTCAGGTTCTCTGTTCTAGGGTAAGGAGGAGGCAGAATGCAAACCCTCTTTATCATTTCCTGTACAAGGTTACCTACATTTGTGCCTTCCAGAAGAATCCTAAGTTTGTCTAGTCAGGTGTAACTCAGAAATATGTCGTACTCCCATGGTGTTGAGCCTCAGTTCTATGGGCCAAATCTGACCTACAATACCTGAATTCCAATATCCCATTCTGTTCCCTAGAGTTTCTCTGACAAATTGGATTCTCTCTCTCTCTCTCTCTCTCTTGGTTTTTCTGGAGTTTCAGGATTTCTTTTTCAAACTGGTTTCACATTTCTGGTGGTTTCTCATTTTTGTGGTTTCCCAATCCCACATGCTAAAAGACTGAAATACTTCTTTTAATCCTTAGTTATTAGCAGTAAGAGTAACTAGAAAATTCTGATATTTGGGATCTTTCTTTCTTTCTTTCTTTCTTTCTTTCTTTCTTTCTTTCTTTCTTTCTTTCATGTTTGTATACCTCTCCATACACCAAGTGAAGTTTCTTGGCTTCACTCCTTTTGCATGGAGTCACCCAGAAATTTTCATGGTGAAGTGAGGATTAGAACCTGGATCTCTCAAGTTCCAGTTAAACACTTTAATTGCAGAGACACATTGGCTTTCCACATAGGCTCAGGAGAAAGAGATGGTTCTTCTCTTTAAAGACATGAATAATTTGGAGCCACAATGGCTAAATGACCCCCACTCCCCAGCAGCTTTCAGGTTCAGATAAACCTCAAATCCATATGCTCTCATCGCTACCACCATCTCTCAGTTGGTGGCTGGATCTAGGATTCAAGGTCTCTTCGGTGGTGACACCTAGACTATGGAAACAATATCTTCATGGGGATTCGCCTGGCCCATTCACTCTTTCATTATCAGTATCTGGAGAAAATGTCACACTGATCTTTCAGTAAATTGTTGGTTGTTGTCCTTGCCTTTTCCTGCTGTTTTAGCTTTTTTTTCCTCTTTGGGCTGGGATATAGTTTTGACTGGAGCTGTTATTTGTTTTAATTTTATTGGCTTTCTCTTTGAAAGGAAGGTAGGGCAGAAATCAAATAAATGAACAGCAATGTAGTTTGGGTGACATTTCATGAGTGGCACTTTTTGTAACTTCTACAGCAATTCTCTTTCACAGGAGTCAATAACCCCTCAGACTTCCAATATGCTTTCTTCTCTGGTTTAATATTAAATTAAAGGAATGGGGGGACGTCGTATAGAGAAATTATGGAGCCCCATCATATATCTGACCTTCCCTGAATATCAGATATGTCCTAGCACCCTTTTTTCAGCAGATACAGAAATGCACTTACTTATATGCTTGAAAAGTACCCAATTCTATGACGAAAATAAGATTTTCACACTGACTGATATTCACTTTCATCCTCGAAGCTTGGTTCACCTGCTCATAGTCCCTAAAGTAAGAGTGTATTTATATTGGGGGGAAATGGCCATTTCTAAAAGTATGGCCCCAGAATGCACACATTTTTCCCACAGGCTAAAATGCATACATGCAGAATTTGTGGGGAAATGCACATTTGCAGAAGCGTGTGCTGGAAATTGCAAACAATGCCCCATTAGGGAATTCTGCACTGCTGCAGTTGGTATTCAAGACTCACCAAGATTGACCAAGGGACATGAGCCTATTGCAAACAGGAATTCAACTCCCATACATCCTTACTGTATTTCTTATTACATTTTGCATGTTCCAGGGATGAGGTCCGGGAAAAATTAAGCCTATATCTATGCCATAGGTGATTAGAACTGATTTATGTGCTGCATGGAAGTACGAAGTTACTAGACTCCTTATCAGGATCAAGAAGGCCCACTTACCTTGGACGTTCTACATTTTTGTCTAACAGTTTCTTTATCAACAATGACATTGATCATGTATTGGAACTGAAAAAAAATCTTGGAATACTCACCAATACTTGGGTATCCTGGTGATGAAGGGTCACCCCCACTGTTTAAGGACACCATAAATGCTGTACTGCTCAGATTTTGAGTCTTTGGTAAATCACATGGATCAATGTAAATAAGAACACCTCCAAAACCTGCCTCTTCTAGCAGAGAAAGCTGAGAAGACACAAAAGCAAAGAGAACAATAGCACAGATTGTTTTAGCACATTGCTATTCTCATCTTGCTCCTCCAGGAAGCGAAAAGCTCCAGTGGCACAAAGCTTACCAAATGTTTGGTTTCTTAATTGGAGATTACTGCAGATTTATTGGTGAGTTGTAGTATCTGCTCTTATTTACAAAACTACAGATTGAGCATAGATGGAGACTAAAAATGTACAAATCAGCAAAACTCTAGCTTGCCAAAGTTCTTCAAATTCTACCTTGAAGTTCTGACTCAATTCCCTGTCCAATTACAAGCTTTGCTTCCTTTTGCAAGAAAATATGTATGTATTTTCATGCATATTTTCCCAGTATATGCAACAATTGTGCACATCTTTGAAAAGTGTGTCTTTTCAAAGCATTTTGAAATATAAGCATTTCTTAAATGTACACATAGTGCTGAACACACTTTTTTCCTCCATGGATCTCACTGCAATTTCAGAAATTTATGGGCTTTGTCTGCAGATCACATCCAAAGGTGCAAACTAAGTAAATCCTGATCGAAAGGTAGGAAGTCAAGAAGGGGCAAGCTAAGTAAATTCTGATCAAAGTAAACTGAAATGAATTTCTCATATATCCTTAGTGGAAATACAACACCATCCCGCTAACAGATGCCAAAAAATCCAGTATTCCACATCAGAGTTTTTAGGACTAAGGTGGGCAAACAGCATCTGTATGGCTACACAGAGCCCTTAGCTTAATTTCAAAAGCCCTTCGCATGTGGACAGTTCAGACCTCTGGCAAAAGCTATGGGCTCCTTTCCTGGAAGGCTGCTGCTTGATTGCACATAACAACCACCACCACTGTAGCCAAGCTATCCTTGTCCTGGATAAGCCATAGCTAGCATCCAAATAAAGCTGGTAGAAAGCGCTCCAAGCGACTGTGGTCAATGGTGACTACATCTGGATTGATGGGCCTAGTGATACTCCCACAGTACAAGGCTAAACTTTCAAAATAAGTGCAACCCCATTCAGAAGATGAGTCTGTCTCCAGTATTCAGGAATCACTCACTCACAGGGCTTCCAACTAGCTAGAGCTCCACTTCAATCTATCGACCTTTGGCTGCCCTACCCCTGATTCAACACACTGGGGACTTCCACAGACTCACCTGAGTCAGATGTCACAGAGAGACAGAAGCCAATGAGAGGCTGAGCAGAATTAGCACGGCTGCACTTTCCCTCTCCCTCCCCCATTCTCTCTGAATAAAGATACCAGTCCCACAAAAAGGGAATAGTGCCAGCAGCCCTCTTCCCAAGCCTCAGTTCTCCTCACCAGCCTCGATATGTCATGTGCCAGTCCCGTGTCCTATCCTGGGCCTGCTTCTGTCTCCCTTTTATCATCTCTGTTCCAGGCTCTAACTTTGAAGGAACACAAGAACACTGCTGTACCCTGAATCTTGGTAACCTTAGTAAGTCCTGCTAACAAAAAATTAACAAATTGCAGGGGGTACAACATATCTTTCCCTAATGTGACAGGGTCCAATTTAAAAACAGGAAAGCAATGAGAAAGAAAATGAAAGCACATACATTTGATTTTTTAAAAAACATTTCCTTCTGTTGCTTTGCTTTTGTTCTATTTTGATAAGCTTCAGGGAACTTAGATATCGAGGACGGCAAGCTGCCGCTGCCATGGTTACACAATCCATTCAAGGAAGACGGTGTACAAATTGCTAAGATGATAACATGGCCTCTAAACACAAGCCCTGTTTTCTTGGGAACAGAGACATCGGCAACCCCTCCCTTGAACAAATATCCCATCACATCACTTTTCCTAGATTTTGCATTTGCAAACATTGGTCCCTAACAGCAAGGAATGATCTAAGCCCATCAGAGGAAACTTGTGAGGATGGTGGAAGATGTCTGCAGAAAGTGTAAGGCAAAATCCCCTAAGGAGGTATGCTTGTTGCTTGTGACAGGTCACTCGGAAGTTTCTCTCCAAAGGTCATAATTTGGAGCCTCAGGACTGACTGAAGGAATGACTTCTGCACACAAAGCATTCTTATCACATTGCATTTCTATCCCATCTTTCCGGCTTTGGGCTTCATGGCTGAGTGGGGACTAGAACCTGGATCTCCCAGGTCCCCAGTCCAGCATTCTAACCACTACACCACACTGCCTCATATGGAACTCACTGTTCACTCCCAGAAGAAGTTCAGGCCCTCTATTTGTACAACATTTCTTTTCTTCCCTGGAACACATTCCTTAATTTGTCAGTGTTTATCATTTGCTCCTGGTATTATCCTGAGACAGGTGGTTCCAATGTCTGCGAGGTGATATATCCACTCTGATTTTCTGTCTGAACTTTACAAGAGCTACTCCTGGTGCCAAATATTTGTTGCTTGGGCTCAGCACCAGGGGTAATTGCTTAAAAGTTCAAACTAAAACCAGAGTGGATACACTTCCTCATTGTCTTTGGAGCCAGAGACCTCAACTGTCGTAACTTGGTGGCTGGCTTCACACAAGCAAAGCAAAGAACCCCACACTCTTTCCATGGGGCACAGATATTTACCCAAATGTGCCAGTCCAATGATAGTGTGGTTACCCAGGCAGTGAGGTCCACGTGCCCCCTGCTACCCCCTCCTGGCATCGCCAAGCACCCTGGCAACCCCTGTGAGTGAAGTCCTATCCATTGCCCGTGCTGGCTCAGGGACCACAGCAACCTTCTGCTGATTGGCCCTCTGTCCTTCTGAGGCAGATTCCCTTCTTCCTGCTCCTGAGTGTCTGTGGCTCTTCCCAGCCACTCTGCCCCACACAGAGATTTCTATTAAATGGAAATAAGTAGTTTTGCCATGATTCCACCCCACCGGTTGCATTTTTTGAGCTGGCTCCCTGTTTCCGAGTAAACAAGGAGATGGACACATCACTCAGCCAATGGGAATTAAGTGAAGTATCTGTTGCTAGAGAGCTGAGGGCAGGAGAGACTGAAGGACACGGTGCACAGTCAAGAAGAATTAACAGTGGGGTAAGAATGGCTTTAAAAAGGGATTGGGCAAATTGATGGAGAAGGAGCCTACCAATGCCAATGAGCCCTTTTGTGGCTATTGGCTGCCTCTATAGCAGAAGCAACACACCTGCATACTCTAGTTGCTAAGGAGCTTGAAAAGGTGCATCCATCCTGCAGACAGTTGGTTTGCCATGATGGGAATAGTGTGCTTGACTGGATGGACCATTGGCCTGATCCAGCATGGCTTTTCCTATGTTCTTCTTATGATTTCAGATTAGAAGCAGCCAGTACCATGTCTGCTTTTGCCAGGGGACTCTATGCTGTTTTGGTAGCAATAAGGCTAAATTGTGATGGTTTGGATGACTGGAGAAGTCACAATGGAATGTGGAAACCTTAGAGCAGACCATAGATTCTCTCCATAGTTTCCGAAAACTAATCCTACCAATTCTGGATCTGGATCTGAAATGACATGACTGACTCACAACAGTAAGATGTCAGCATGGCTCTGTGTGTTGTCTAAACCTACTCAGTGTATTGATATGTAGAGGGGAGATCATTATCAAGCTTTGACTCCAGATGGGAGTGAATTTCTAAGCCTATACACTAAATTCTGTCTTGCGTACATGTATGCGCAAAAAGTGATGAAGAGATACTAGATGTGTTCTCTGTTAATTACGTAGCTCTATGCATATGAATGAAGAGCGGCAGCCCTTTTGTCCAGGTGGTGGAATGTCGCAGCAGAGAATAATGTTTGGTTGACACTTTGCCTTTTCTGTACTTTTCCAAATGGGTAAACCTCGAATAAAACTGTTTTGAGTATAATGTCTTCATTTCAGAAATAATTCAGGATAGTGAAGGTGATGGTGCGGATGGCTAATGAAAATAATGATGGTGATTTTAGAGACAGCATGATCCAGCATTTTTTATTTGATTTAAGGAGGGAAGCACCAAGAAGAACACAGTGCATTTACAATTCTTTTTTTCCCCGTTCGTTCCTTTTCTCTGTATGTGTGCTCACACATGTATGTCTTTTCAGACAGAAGAAACTATATTTTTTAAAACTGAAATCACAGACTGTGCCTTGATTCCCTCCTTGGTAGACTTGGATGTACCTCACCTCCTGTCCCTCCCATCTCTACCTTCTTTGGCCATGATGTTTCCATGTGCACAGGAAATAGGGAGTGGGCTATGCTGGAGTCACCCGTGCAATACCCACAAAGCTCTCCCTGCTCTGCCCCCTTTGTGCCTCCCTCCACTCTATCCCTTTGCCTTCCTGTTGCAACTTCCTTTCCTGTTTCTACCTCACTATTTCCCCTTTCCCTGTCCCTCTTTAACTTACATCTGACCAGCTAGGCTTACATCTCAGACATTATGCAACCAGTTTGTGAAAGACCTTTCGTGGCAGTGCTCAAAGCAATTTTCCAAAATCCTCAGTATGTCCATGTGCTGAGGAGTCCTGGGCTATGTTGTTTAGAAGCCCATCTTCAAAGGAAGATTACTTACTTCCTATTGTCATCCAACTCAGCTGGCTTGTAATCTACAAAACTACTTTGCACATGGAATAAATACTGTGGGGAAGAAACTGCCACATGGATAGATGTATGTGTGAAGAAGCCATCTGTCCTTCTTTCTTTCTCTTTCCTAATAATAATATACCATGTTGTTTAGTGATCATAATGGACAAGGTCTGTGAACTACAAAATTTCTTACTTTTTCACATTGGTTCCATTTTCATCACTCCGAGGAACAAACTTTCCCCCTATCTCCACAGATTTCTTGTTCCAATTTAATCACAGACACTTTGATTTATATATTTCTCAGTTTTCATGTAAAGCCTGAAATGGCTGGGCATTTAATTCTCGGAGCACTGACTTCAATGACGAAGTCCCAGCATGTAGAAACTAACGGCTGCGATGCTTATTTGTATCAGTGCCCATTCTTACCACTCTAGCTGTTCCATGGGAACTTGAAATCAAAGTGCATGCAATGTGCATATGTACACTGACTTGCACGTC